TCGTTAAACATGTTAGCTTTGTCGTCTGGTGTGACAACCAAATTTCCCAACGCATCCTGCAAGGACCCCACGTTACCCGGGACCTTCTTTTTGCCCCCTATGTATTTAAAAAAAGACTTCTTATTGTCCTTAATCTGGGAAGCTAGTCCTAATTCCATCTCTGCCTTGAAATATAAGTGGAGCTTATATTTTCTAAGTTCTATGACAATGATTACCTTTTTTTTAAATAAGGCATGGGTGCGGTCTGTAAGCAGACTATTTTCCGAAAATACAATTTTCCACGCAGTATACGTCGGTGTGGGTTATATCAGTGTGTGGGGTATATGCGAGAAAATACAGTAGTTCTCAATCTCTTTGGACTCAGGGGACCCCTCAGAAAATGTCAGCTCATGGTTTTCACTCCTTTTTTGTATATGGAAAAAATAATACAGCAATTCTTCTGTTGTAAAGGACTTGCAGAGATCAACAGGTCAGCTTTGTTTTTGATCCCTATTGGAAATCTGTGGATTTAATATTGTTAATCATGTGTAGGTATTTACACATCTAACAGCACTAATATTGTCTGACATCCTGTGGCACCCTTAACGGGATCTCCAGGCATCTCAGGATGTTGTAGCATCCTGGTTAAGAATCACTGCTTTACTTTAGAGCCTTTCTTTTCACTTTTCAATTTGCAATTTAAATACTAAATTAATCAGTGTCCTATTACAGTGAAACTATGAATTTATTTGCTGATTTACGTCTTTTACAGATTTGTCTATGGCCATGCAGAAAATTTATCAGACATTTGTAGCTCTAGCTGCACAACTTCAATCAATACATGAAAATGTAAAGGTAGTGTATGCATTGAAAACATATTTTCAGATTTGTTTCATAATTAAATAAGATGCAGACCATAATGTCAACATTTCTTTTACCCTTCCTCTTTTTCTTTTTCAGCTGTGCATTAACCTATGTTTTAAAAACTTTCTAAAGGTTATTTCTGTGGGTGATCGAACTTTAAACCTTGTTAAATGACTGAGGTGTCTTGGCTTGAGCTCTTACCAAAATTGAAGCAACTGTTGTCATTATAGTCAAGGTTGCATAATAGTTTTCATTTTAGTTTTTTCAGGTACTCAGAACTTTTCTGAAATTTTCATCTTCTGGTCAGATGACATTTTCCATGCTTGTTATTACTCTGGAAGGGCTCTTTCTTGACAAAACGCAAATGATTTCTGAGGGTGAACAAATTGACAAGAAATAACACCTTTTCAGATATAAATCATTTTGCGACATATGACACTTGAATATTCTTGTAGACCATATTTTGACTTACCTCTTCTTCTAGCACTTTTGTTATGTCACTTGGGCACAAACTTATTATTAAGAAAAAGTGCTAAAATAGACCGTTGGAAGACACTCCATTTCCTTAAGGGCTAGTAGATTTAAATGAAAGTGCAGCCTTAAGCAGGGTGTGCTTACTGTTTTCTGTAGTGATTAAAGTACTATTATTTCATAGCCTGTGCTTTTAGATTAATGTGCTTTCTGGTTGGTAAAGACCAACAAAGAAAATCCAGTGTTTTGCTGATTCCTGTTGGCTATGGACAGAGATTATACATAAATTGGTTTAAGAGATAAGAAACTGGTTTAAACTTGTAACAGAACAGATGTTCAGTGCACATAAACCAGTTTGAAAATGGCTGAAAGTGGTTTGAGAGAAACCTGGGCAGGGCTTTCTGCTCCACAGCAGAGTTGGCCATGCCCCTCTGCTCCCTGGCTGGAACTGTGGGAGAGACTGCAAGTACAGCAGTGTCTGACTAGCTTCTTCCTGTCCACCCCCCACCGCTCCCTGCTTAAAAACAGATTCTCCCCCCCCCGCCTTCTCCCATAGCACAGATGTAGCCAGCATGTGGTGTGCTAGCTAAGTATCTGTGTAAGGCAGGGGTTATCAACTGGGGGACTTGGAAAGGGGCTAGGGGCTATACGTGAGCAGGCGGGGATGAAGCATCACCACCCAGTGCTGCCACCTCACGGGAGGGTGGAGAGGGCAACAGCTACACAGGCCCCACAGGTGCCAGCCAGGGGGGAGGCAGGGAGTTCGCACGCTGCCGCCATCATTCACTGCCGCATGCAAAACCGCCCACACTACGTGTGTGGTTGCCGCTCCCCCCACCCCCTGTGCCAGAAGTGTACCTAGAAGGGGTACACTCCTTAAAAAAGATTCAAAACCCCTGGTGCAAGTCAGAGAGGACAAAGGCAGACAGAGCCTTTTGGAGCTAAAAGAAAAGCATGAACTAATGAGAGAGGCTTTTGTTTTCTTAATGGGCTGATAAACACTGTAACTCCCTGCTGTGTAAGTAAATGCTGTGCAACTCCCTTGCTGGTCAGGAACAGCAGGGAGGTAGGGGGAGGAAATTCCTCCCTAATAAGGGTGTCCTGCCGGGGCCTGGCCACACCTCCCTCCTCAGCTCAGCACTGTGGAAGGGAAGAGAGGACTGCTCTAGAGCTCCGTGACTTCTAACCTGAGCCACTGCAGGCATGTGACTGCATTTCTTCAGTCCAGAGGGGCTGCAAGGGACTGCTTGGGGCTGAGGGAAGCAGAATGCAGGGGGCAGGAACTACCATGTGCATGTGTGTGCACACATGCCAAGCAGGGTGGTGGAGAAGCTCCCCCAGTTCCCTCTAGGTAAGTCTGTGTGGTGGGGGCGGAACAGGTCATGTGTCCCCTCTGTCCGCTTCCCACCCCCCGAGACTTCCGCATCCACAGCAGGGTGCAGGGCTGCAGCTGGGCTGGACCAGCTCCAGGCAGGATCCACCTCCACAGCCCAGTGGGTGGGACCTGATGCGGGAAGGAACATTGGGCCACCACAGCCACCAAGATGAGGTGCCCCCTGCCTGCCCAGCAGCAGCAGGAGTCACCAATCCGCACCACTGCCCATGAACAACTGGTGCCTCCTGAGACTGGGGGGCACCCTGGCAGTGAGTGGCGAGCAGGGACGGACTGCCTGCAGCCACCGGTGGCAGCGAGCGGGAACTGCCCACTGGCGGCAGTGGGGGGTGGCAAGCAACAGACATTTGGTGGCAGCCAGTCTCGGGGGCCGGGGGGTGGTCAGGACTGTATTGCAGAGGAACGGAGTAGTAAGAAGAAAGTATTTATTTACTAGTATTCTGGGCTATATTTGTTGGTTGTGGGATGAAGCTTTTCTGCACTCAGTTTATTATAATTGTTTGGAGTGCATGCTTCGTATTTAAATATTTTGAGCCAATTTAGTTGCACATCTTGTGCCTAAATCTTACGTAATCTAATACATGCTTGGACCCAGTTCTGGTATACCATTAGCATAGATCTTGTCAGTCTGTTCGTTTAGAAAACTTAGAGGTTTGGGAGGTCTCTGTTGGATATACTGAGGAGTTAGACATCTGCATCCCTCTTGAGATTCCGTCAGATTGTGATCAAAGGGGGAGGGGGCAGGTGGAATTCCCCATATTACCTCTCCCAGGATTTTTCAACATTTGTATTGGAGCACTGCTACAATGGTCAAAAGATTTTTCTCTGCTTCTTCAAAGCCAGTTTTTTTCTGAGTTAAACTGACACTACGTGGGTTACTAGGTACATTTTTTACCTGATTTTTTTTGGACTGGATGTATGCACCTTATACACAAATACCCCAGACCTAGAGTTGTGTTATCACCTACCCCCACAACTGAAACTCTTCCTGTCTCAAAGCAAGAAATAACAAGCAAATTGTTTCCAGAAACTTTGTAGGTGTAAATGAGTATAGACAAACCTTTTAGATAATTGGCTCTTCCATTTCACTGGAATGCTGAAACCACAACCATCTCAAAAGTTAGCTAGGTCAGCAAGAAATGGAACTTCTTAGGAATCTGTCCTACCACCCTGGAACTCCTAGGAGATAACACTGAACAAAAATAACAGTGCTTTATGCTGAAATTTGTAAAATTAGTGGTGTGGGTCTTTTGGGAGGTTTGGGGGTTTTTTTCGTGGGGGGGTTTTCCAATTACCCTTCCTATAGTAGTATATAGTTCCTGCGAGACTAGAAGGTGAGGGGAGAATGAATGATTTCTTTCACATTTCTGGTATGTGATGATGGGGTATTTTTCTTAAAAACTAGACCACTCAATTTGGTAAAATATCCAAAATAGTGGTGTCAGGCATCTTATTCTTCCTCTTGATTTTAAAATGAAGTTTTAGCTCTTGTGGTTGCACAGGTAACCTTCCAGTTTTAAGCTGATTCACTATTGTTTTCCTGAGTCTGTAGACAGCTTGACACTGTTGCTTAAGTTACCTTTCCTTCTGATTTCTCCTGAGCATTAATCTGATTAGGCTTTGAAGCTTATATCTCAAATTGTGACACTTCACATGTCAGTAGTAACTACCTAGTTGCTCATTTCTTATACCAAAAGAAATAAGGTACTAAAGGGATTAAACTCCAGCGGGGCTGGGACATGGGATGTACTGTATTGAAAGAAGCAGGTATGGAAGGGGGATGGGAATGGGACAAAAAGAAATATTGAGAAGGAAAGAGAAACAGTTATTAATAGTGAGGATATCTTCCATCAGAATTATGTTGAATAAATGACTAAGTCTTTCTACTATGTCTAGATTTTGTTCCATCATTGGGTCCAAATTCTAAGCTGGTGTAAATCAAGTGTCTGTGTGCTGACTTAAGTGATACTACACTATGTTACATATCAGGGATCAGCATCCATTTTGCTAACAGCAGGCTGCAGCTTCCCATGCAGCTGCTGCTGCAGGCTGCTGATCCCCTGTTGCCAACCCAGCTGTCCCTGCTCTGTGTGGAGACTTCTCCCCAACTCCCAGTACAGCATGCACTGAAAATTTGCGGGACAAAAAGTGTGGCAAGTAACAGTTTGGAGTGCCTAATTTGGCAGTGGCTGTAGTGGGAAGGCAAGAAAGCAGCCCTCCACATGGAGAAGGAATGACTGGGGTGGCAGCAGAGGTGCCTGGCCTCCTGTTAATAAAAGTGCTGAATGTGAACCAGATTAGAAGTATGTGCGCTGGCAGGGTGTTAGACTGCCACTGGTAAAACAGACTAGATCAGACTTTTGCAGGCTGGAGCTGACCTGTGGGCCATAGGTTGCTAACCTTGCAGTATGTTTTGGTCTATGGAAAGCCTTTTATTGACAAAACTAGGGGATTTAATCTAGAGCAGTAGTTTTCAACCTTTTTTCATTTGTGGACCCCTAAAAAATTTCAAACAGAAGTGCTGACCCCTTTGAATGGTGTGGGTATTCACATACTTTCGATTGATCATGGTCATCTTTCACAGATCACTTAGACCCCAGGGGTCCACAGACCACAGGTTAAAAACCACTGATCTAGATTGATATAGGCACATAGTCATAAATGTAAAACCTGTCCAACTGACTATAACTATGAAGGTTTTCATATTAGATGTACTAAACTAAAATGATTTTCCCCCTACTCCTTCAGATGCTCAAAGACCAGTACCTTGGGTACAGGAAAACTTTTCTGGGAGATGCCATTGATGTGTTTGAGGCAAGACGAACAGAAGCTAAGAAATGTCAGAGTGCCCAGCGTGTTACTACTGGACCGACCCCTTTCAGCAACATACCAAATGCAGCAGCCGTTGCCATGGCTGCAACACTTACTCAGCAGCAACAGCCTGCTACAGGTCTGAATGCATTCAAGTTTTAGATTATTAGTGTTACAACCATAGTAAAAACGTGTAAACTTTTATATAAGGTCTTCCTTTGTGTTAGCCTAAAAATCTAAAAATTGTGATGAACAAAGTTATCAATACATAGCTAATAGAAAATGCAGGGTAGACTTAGCAATAATCCATCAGATACATATTTAATCTTGTGAATTTACTTGTATTAGTGATATTTACTGTATTGCTCTAATTACCCCTTGGAATGTGAGTCTTTACTCTTAAATAATATTGCTGAATATCTGTAGTATAGCGTCTCTCCAAAATTGTACGATTGTTTTCAAATCGGTGGGAGGAAAATTAATTCAAATGCATATTACATTTTCTTATGTAAAATGAATGATGCATTTTTTATATAGCACTTTGGTATTATAAAGTGAAAAATGCTACAGAACAGAAAGGATAGCAGAGCTTAAGTGTGTAGACTAGAAAGAAAGGATATTTAGTCCATTTCTTGTTTTTCTAACTTCTTTGGAAGGATGATACTTCAGTAATTGTTTGGCCAACTGTTGTGAATGAATATGAGTGGAAAAGGTAGGGTGTTTGTAGGTATGGATGGTTGAGAGGGAGATGGAACAAAAACGGCAGAAGTATTAGACCCTCTGCTAATGTAAGGTGAATGTGGGTAAGAAAGAAAGCCCTTCAGGTCCCACTTAGTAGATACTCAGTCAAACTGCACACCTTGTTATTGTACAAACCAAAATTTTCAAGGTTTGCTTGAAAGACACTTACATTCATGTTTGAGCACTTCGATAGAAGTGGCATGACCTTTATTTTTGTAAATAACGTGCACTTCCCAGTAATTTCAGTTAAACAATGAGTTTTTGTTGTTTAATTTCAGGAATCCAACTTTGAAAAGTGCATATTCTACCATTCTGTTTCCTTCTGAAAGGTTCTTTAACATCTCAGACCTGTTTCCATCCTAAGTTTTTTTTGTTTTTTTTTGTTTTTTTGTTTTTTTTTGTTTGTTTGTTTGTTTTGTTTTGTTTTGTTTTTTAGCAGTAGTAGGATCTGACTAAACAGAGGACTAGGTTGCTTTACTTAGAGAGCCATTTAGGAATTATCCCTAGGAAATGCTCTCAAATAATGAGGCAGTCCTTTCCCTATATTTGCGGTCAAAAAAGGTGTCCCTTGTGATGAATGGGAGGTTGGGTCCAAAGACATGAGTCAAAATTTTTAACAAAAATAAATTCGTGACTTTCTTGTATCTTAACCTTTCTTTAGTCCTCCAAGAGTTTTCTGTTGTGTTGTCCATCTCTGAAGTTCTGGAATCACTTTCTGAATGTGACCTCTACGTTCAACTTTAAACACACAAAAGTATTATATTACTTCATATTTGGTTCTTTTAGTGAAGAGGGAAGTGGCAATTGCATAGTCTTACAGTTCCTGTACCTCTTCATTCATTATTTTTCTAGTCTTGTCTTTCTTAAGACCCTTTACTTAGTGTTTTAGGGGATTAATTATATACAGATTAGTCCTGCTACCTCAGATATCCCATTCAAAGTTTTAGTTGAATTTGGTGAGAAGTTTAAACTTCCTCTTTTGGCCTAGAGGCAGGAGTTTCCAATTAACCTGCCACTTCAGTGAATCAATGTCATCATTCTACTGCTGTCAGTGAACCGCAGTTCTCACCCGTACCACTAAAAAGTGTGAAGTTGATCTATATCAGCACCCATGAGATGAAATGAATTGTATGCTGAAATTACCCTTCTTACTTCTTCAATAGTAAATTCTCTGCTCATATGTTGTTCAGTATTTTATAAGTGCCAGCTAATGTGCCAAATATGGAAGCAGTTATGGTCTTGGATACAGATAAGATGAACCTGTCAAGATTTCACATGTGGCACCAAAATGTCAATTTTAATGATGTCTAGTTATTGGTAAAAAGGTCAAAGACTATTGCTAGTTGCACATACTCAGTTTTCACCTTCCCCCTCTATAGACTGTGCTTTTGAGGACATAAAGATAGGCAAATGTTTGAACCACTTTTTAGCTACTAGACAACTGGTAGAGGAAAAAAAGCTTTTGTCTTGGCCCTATACTGCAATACTGTCCCAGTCTTACAAAAACTTTTGCTCATGCTTACCTCCTGTGTATCATGAGTAGTCTGATTAAGTTCAGTAAACTACTCTGTGCCTAATTTAAGTGTTTCTAAGCTCTGCATTCTGAAGAGGGAGGATATAAGGGAATGGGGGGATCACAACAGGAAGAATGTAAGAAGGGTGTGTGATGAGTGTAGTGACGTATGTATGTGTAATGTCTGATTGACTGTTTGCGGTGGGCACCAATGATACTGCCAGGGGAGACCCTGAGCATATCAAAAGTGACTACAGGGCTCCGGCTGTAAGGGTGAGAGTGTCTGGGGCTCAGGTTGTGTTTTCATTGATCCTTCCAGTCAAGGAAAAGG